GACATACAAAAGGTCAAACGAAGTCACTGACCTTGAACGAGCATGGGACGTTTTGCTTAGAAACGGTTATCTAGGTTCTGGGGCACTTTGGACACCAACCTGAAACTTGATCTTGTTTGACCTTTTTTGACCCGAAGGTCATGACTTAGGGACATGAAACTTTGACTTAAGTTTGACTACGCACAGATCAACACGTCCCGCAAATTTGTCGTCTCTAGCTTTCTTAGTTCGCGAGATTTCAGGGGAGGGTTTCAAATTGACCCTCGCCTGAGCGAAGGGCATCTAGCCGGTCACCCGGGCGCTTGTTAAAGTTTGAAATGTTGGCTTCACACTTTACATAGGATCATCTTTTTGCCAAAGCCAATATGTAAACCAAAACAAACCAAAACAATGCCTCTTGTTGTAATTGTCATGCAGCTTAGAGCATTCTTGTGTTAAAAGAACACGGCGCATATCCACGGTACAGTCTTTTGCTAGTCAGCAAACTACGGCAACTATGGACAACATCTTGTTGAAGCAGACGTGAGGGACAGCTTCAAAAAATCTGAGGCAGATAGTCAAAGTAAGAAACAAAATAGTTTGATTAAATGCCTCGTGGCATCGTAATTTGTCTTGTTAAAAATTCAGTGGATTTAGACAGAAAATGAATAAATATGGTTGCAAATCATGTAATGAAAGCAGATGAGGCTGGAAACTAGTTGCTCCACAGGAGAAGCTTTCTGGCTTTTTAAGGGCAAGCTGTTTCTGCTCCTCCACACGAAAAGTCAGCATTTTTCACATGTTTTGCTGACAGGCAGTCCTTCATCCCACCCACAAAATATAAAGATCAGTCATGCCAAGCAGCCTACAAGATTAAAATGCGAAATGTGGGAGTGAAAAAATTCATATCAAATATTGGAAAAAGAAGTGAAAAACTCCTCACAGGTGTTGCTTTACACCCAAAGTCAACAATTCTAGGACACTCCTGAACCGTGGCCAGCTGGTGGACGAAAATGATGATGCCCTGAAAGAAGTATTTTTAAACACTTCAGGACATCAAATCAAACATTTATAAGGCAGTCTGGGCACATATTTCACGTGTGCAGTTTTTAGGCCCATGATAGGAACGGATTGTCCCTTAAAACACCTAAAAGCGGCGCTGGAATCTGGTGTTGGAACTGGAAGAGTAAAGGCAAAATTTCTATTTTGTGTGTTTCTGTAACTATGAATCTGTCCAGAAGACGGATGAACACAGCGCCCACCGTCCGATGGCACTTACAGTGGCCGACGCCAATCGGTTTTGCGGATGCTGCAACCTAAGCCATCACTATCCTTGCTCTCGATGTTGTGGGCAGGCATGTTTAAGCCTTTTGGTATATTTTTTCACTAATCCATTCTGAAAAAAATGGCCGTTCTCAGCCAAACATGGGATGGCCTGGCTCAGTTTTTAAATTCGCTTCGACCCACTCTATTCAACTATAATGAGACACCCACTCTACTTAATAATAAGACCCCTCATTTCCTTCCGGGCAAGGGGCCCCTTGAGTAGAACACCAGGGGCACATAACTGGCTCTAGTCAAGAGCTGAAGGCCCATCTCCTCCCATCGCGTACTGTCTTCTGGCTGACATTCTGGCGGCATGGGGCGAGATCTCCTGGTCGATCCGGAGGCCATTAGAAGGGTATATCATATCGCATTCTTACCCTTCCTAACACGGGAGGCTTTCTGACCCACGTAGTTGGGACCGGGTCAGCACAGGAACCCTCATACAAGCAAAAACATCCATGATCGCCGCAGATGGTCCAATAATCGTCACATATTCTTCAGTTCCATGTTTTCTGTATCTTTCAAAGATATTGAAAAATCACTGAACGTAGTTGTACCTGAAATGGAGTCCCAACTTCGTATCAACATGGCTGGTCCATGTTCGCCTTAAAATGTTCAAGGTTCAATCAGAATTGGTTACTGATAAAAAACAACTATGTAATACGGTTTTGAACATGCGTGCTCGCAAGTCATAGCAACAGCAGAAAATTTGAGAAACTACACCACCGCTGCCTGCTGCAAATCTGGGGGAAAATTTTTAAATGTATCTCGGGGGCAGGCTCAGACATATTTTCTTCCAACACCCCGCCCCGCATTTCCCCTTTCATTTCCCACCACCACGCATTTTGCAAAACTGCATCCCTGTGGGCCTGTATTTGCCGATAATATGGTTCTACAAGCACCTGAAATAATATCACTTTGGTTTTCGCGGCGCTATCATACAATCAGCTGAAAAGGTTGACGACCTTCATTATTTTGGCACAATTTTTGCCGGTGCCGAACTCGTACATGATAATGTAGAGCGAAACACATACAATATTGGTAACAGCAGGTGCAAAACGACATTTTTGAACACCTATAACACCTTCATTTAGATCAAAAACGTAATATGATCAATAAAAACAAAAGCGTTTTAAAAGTTTTAGCTAAAACTAAAAGCGTTTTATTTCACGTCTGTCCACCGATCGGTGCGCTGAGTCTGAGGTGCAGTAGGCAATGTGAGAGGCCTACACCAGCGATGCTCGGCCTCTTACGTCAAAGCCGGGTCTCCTCTCAGCAGCAGGAGGCCTGGGATGAATCTTTGACATCTGTCGCTCCAACGTCCTCCATGTATCTCTGAATCTACAGCTCAGATATCCACAAACAACAATCCTAGATCGGCAGGGCTTTTTAACGCAATTCACAGAAATGATATCCGTGGTAGATCCTTAGAAAATCCGCACAGCACCTTAAATAACTAACTATTAGCTACGTTTTTCAAGTAAGTCAGCCTCTCACGATATGAATGCAACCAACGGCAGCTCACAGCCTTACACTGAACCTTATTCATTGCCGCGTGGCGAGCATTCGAACCCATCTGTCTCAAATAACACATTTTAAATCGCCGCATATCAAACTGATCACTTATGAGAAACAATCTGTAAAAAGCACTGATCTGAGAGGCATTAGAAAAAAACTGTGCGACCAAGGATTTGTGACTTCAGCACTAATATGATATAGCTTGTAACGTTTTCTTGTCGTCTGGTTAAAGCTGTCCTCATTAAAGCTACTATATTTGGCAACATCTAATGGCTCAACTTGCTCATACAGCGAAACGTCAGCCGACACGTGCACTGCACCTGTTCACGTTGCCAGCGTTAGCGAGTACAGACCAGTACTAAGCTTTGAGATTCGTCCAGCCGAAAAGATCTGTAGTAGTATGGTCTGGTCTGCTGTGATTTGTTTGCATTTCCGCAATTTCGTTACCAATCGGCTAGCAAAAAAGTGTGTTTTTGTCACCGATCATATCCGGTAAATCAGAAGGTTTTTCATCCCTACTCCTAGGCACATCTGATGTCTGACAGGGTTTGTCGGTGAGTGGTTCTAAGCATGTCATTAGTCACTTCTTTTCCATTAATTGATATCAACATCATAACGCTTGCATCTTTTATTGAAAAATACCAAGTCAACACCGTAAGACACATGACCGCTATCACGTGTCATCATCAAATCACATACATCATCATTACACACATCATCATCATCAGCATATACATGCCATGCTCCCCGCCACATCCGTCTCCCAATATACCAGTTTCAAAACTCAAGATGATCCCCTTCCCCCACACATTCAGCCCTCACTCTTTCACGCAACACACATCCTTGTCGATCTGATGCCCTCCTTACATCTTTTCTTGTTCTTAACGTCATAGTCTCATTCGGCCCTCCTAGTGTACGAGATGATGCCATTGTGCACTGAGTTCTTCCATGCCGTAACTTTTGTTGGCAATAAACCATTCGCTCACTAAGTAACGGCTTATAACCCCCTTTAGAGCCGGATAATTTCGTTTCACACTATGACCTTCCGCATATCATGATCATGACCCATCTTTAACGTCACGATTCACTGCTTAAACAAGATAGTGATTAGGTTGCCTGCGTGGCGGTCATCGATACTCCCGAATAAGGCAACTGCCATGCAATTTCCCTTATCTGTTAATCAGTTTCTGATACACATGTGCCCATTACTGCCTTACTAATTGACAATCGTACAAGAATTGAGACATTGCATCTGTTGCCACAATACAAGCACACTGGACTCCCTGCTATTTTCCTAACGTACCAACGCCTAGTAGGTAGGTATCGGTGCAGAATTCGGTATGGCAGATGTTAAGTCTTGTAGATTGCGTGCACCAACAAGGAATTTGTAATATTTCTGCCCAATTTTCTATAGCAATATTCTTCCTTCACCCATCTCACTTTCCAATTACCGCCAAAGAATAATAGTAAATGAGGAAAATTGGAGAACTGTCCAAAGGTATAATTCTCCAATGATCCATTCGGATCGATTTTCGTAGTTCAGCCAGGTTAAAACCAGAGCTACGTAGTTTAGGGATTTTCGACTTTCTTATCCAGGCATTGCGGAACTAGTGCATCCGTCTTCGTCGCGCTCAATTAGTTGTCTGTATCGGCAGCTACCACATGTTTCCAACTTTTGGTATAACCCTATCAAGTCTCCGTACCTTGGATGGTTAGCTCTTACGCTGCGATATTTCTTTGGAGCTCGTCTATCTTAAAAATGTATTATCGGGCCAATTAAATCAGCAATCATTTTTATTCCGACTGAGTGCATCCCACCTATGAACACTGGTTTCTGAGCTGAGCTATGCTTTTGTGCATAAGGTGAGCGTTGTGATTAACGATAGAAGGGGATGCGACTTTTACCCTTCATTTATATCTAATTCACGCCTTCGGGGTTCGCGGCGGCATCTTCCGGAGTAAAAAGCTGCACCACTGCCGCCGCCCGTCCCCGTGACCTGGAGCCGTGACGTCACGTGCCCTGGGGGCGGAGGTCGGGTCGTGTGGGGCGGCCGCATGACTGGCTTCAGTGCCGGGCACTCCTGGGGGGCGGTAGCGGGTGGCCACGGCTGCAGCGCATTTTAGACTGTTTTTATGCATCATCTGCGTCCAAACCCTGTAAATACCGTGCCGGGGCCAGCCGCCTGACGGTGAGTGATCGGCATGGAGATGCTTCGGAGTGCCAGGCAGAGGCATAACGCTTCGTGCCAGCTATGGCTCAGCTGCTCTGGCAACTTGATGGAGAGCAAGGTAATAGATTCAGTGCTGTAAACCTCATACTGTTCTATGCTTCGCTGACTGCTGTGTTCGGAGGGAACGTGTCGTCAGACAATTTACAACGCGCTGTGAGCACTTTGTTTTCTGATGCGAACAGAATGGCAATGCATTTCTACGCCCCATTCCAACGACGCCACGTGTTGCTATTTTCATCGAGCAAAATGAAAGTGTGATAAAAGCAAGAGATACTTTGGTCTTAATATCTTATAGTTTTCAAAGCTGTTCGGCTGGTCGCCCAAACCTCAGTCATTGTGTTATACTCAAGTCTGGCTCATATGCTCATATAGGATTGAGTCTTTTAAAGTAGTCTTCCGATTTTATGTTTGCCAACAACGTGCCAAAAACTGTGATTCCAAAAAGCTTTTCATTCGCGCAGGCCCAAAGCAGTTAGAATGCCGCCACTTTTGCACTTTTTCTTTCTTCATCTCATAGACAACACTGTCTTACGGAAAGCAACACTAACGCGCATTCATCTCCCAAAACGCGCGCACCAGATTCAAAGTTCCGCCAAATTACTACAAAGTGATTGAAAACCACCTGCTGGAATCAAAACGCATGTGAATCCAGGAAGATAGCCAATTGCTGACGAGCCCACCTCAAATTTGTTAGCATTAGGATCTTCAGCGCATAAACTATTGCGTCCGTCGAAAAGTCCTAACCTCTTAAGATATAGCTGCGATGTCAAATTCTAAGTCCAATGACAGGACACTCCATGTCCCCTAAAGCCCGACTGTTCATTTGTGATTTTTAAACCTTAGAATTTTCAGCGCGTTAACTAGCGTCCGTAAAAGCCCCGCCCTCTCAGGAGCAAGCTTCGAGGTCACGTTCAAGGTAAAATAGCTGGGAGCTCTGTATCCCCGAAATCTGCCGGGAGATTTCGGATCTTTAAGGCCCAGAATCTTCTTCAGTACTTGTGCTACCGCGTATGGAAATACCGCAATCTCTCATATGAGTTGTCAAATGACACGTAGATCCATATGACCCGATAGCTGGGGCATTCCACGACAAAGCGGCGGGTCAAATGGTCCACTTTACACCCTTATTTCCCGGATAACATCCTCATTTCACGAATTTTGATACAAATTAGTCACAGGGGCTGTTAGCGGCGCCGAAGACGTCTGTGACATTTTCAAACCTCTCAGTTCAGTGGTTTTGGAGTAATAGCCTCCAGCATTTCCGTGTCGTCTGATTGAAGGGCTCCGTTCGGCGGAGATTTTGCACTACGATGAACAAATGTAACAGACCTACACGTCAAAATGATTCAAAAACCTTCCAGATTGCTGTGTTTCGTGGTTGGAATCGTCGTTGCACAAGAAATATTGTTTGTGACAATATGAGCATTTGTAACGCAAGCAGCATCACTTCCCAACTCGATTTTGAGCCTTTTGTCATTTACATGTGAAAGAACGTAGTTTGAGCCCCATAATCCAAAAAGGTGGTTATCGGCTTGGAAAGATTTGGAAACAATGTCACAATAAAGGGTTGCACTTCATTTGCACCACCCGCTGTTGCCTGCCGGCGCAGTATCTACCACGCGTCTCCGCATAGGCGGTGGAAAATGAGTGCAGTGTAAGACAACACTAGGCTAAATACCACAACAGCTCGCATAGATGTGGAAGTCCACTCGATGCACTCGTGACTTAGTTTAGGTCACTCTAACTTACCAAAACTGTTGAAATCAACCGACCGCAGCTTCCCTCCCTACTTCCGACGCTAACTCAAGGACAACAATGTCAGTCGGAGCACTCACTGGGGTTATTCTGTGAGCCTTACGTGCGCCTTTGACAGTTTTGACCACAACCAATATGATGATAAGCTCATCCTCTGCCCAAAGACTTCTCCCTGTTGCGTGAAGAAACATGTTTTTTGCACATTAGCCTTGCCCTCAAAGAACTAGCGTAGCTTCTCAGCGGAGAGAATATGATAGGAATGAAGGTGCGACATGCTGGCACTGACAGCAGTCCTTTCCAAGGTCCCCAACGCTGTCGGAAGCGTTCTTCCCGCTGGATATGGCAACGTAATGCCACTGGCACTTCACACTAAAGTCCTCCTCATGAAAGCAAAACGCTTAAAGAATTGAACCTGTTCTTGTACTGTCCTGCTGATCTATCTGAAAAGTAATACACTTTTCTATATTTGAATCAAGGTTTTTCACTTACGGTAAAAGTTACTGACGAAATTATGGACCGTAACTGTGTTATGTTTCATCGCAACTGGCAGCGCGTAATAACTTCAAGCATGATCTGTCCAGGTCTTGGTCAATAAACCGCAAAAAGATGCAGCGTGCGTTGCGATGCATCTCAGTGAAGCTGATGCATTTCGTGCTGGACAACGAAAGCATGGTTTTCTGAAAAGTCTAAAATGATCAAAATTTCGTTCTCGCTCGTTCATTGATTGATCGAACAAGTTCAGTTAAAGGACAGCTGTCGTGCTCACCCACTGGCCAAATTTGATTTCATTGACCGAGTCCCAAATGTCCTCTGCTTGCACATTAATTGCGGCAATCAAAAACGATCACACACCATCCTAAACGCGAACGGTTCTCACGTTCCTGCATCATGCAGGCTCCCTTTGAACATCACACACGGCGTGACTCAGTTGATGTCACTATGCAACATCTCGCAGTCCAAGAGATTCAGCCATCAGCTCCGTGTTCTGGTGATGACAGCCCAGAAGGAAAAAAAAATCGAATGAAATTCTGCGCACTTCATTGGTTGTAAGACCCTGGGACTGCGATATGAATAACTCACATTTCGGTTCCGCAAGAGGCTCCGCATTATCGTGCCCAGTATGACCTCCAGGATCTTCAATAAGTTTGGTGTGCGTTTGCACCACAGAAGTGTTAAGACTTACACATCTGGAAAATACGCGGGTGCTGAACACGACTAACTAGTTAATTCGATGCGGTGCTTACAGGGAGTGTCCTACCTTTGGGGCATGTTTTCAAAACATTCTCTGGTGAAACCTCAGGACCAGTTAGTATAATATTACTGAGCTCTGCAGCACCATCAAGACGTGATAAGTTTTTACATCTTAATTAATGCCGAGTCCAAATTACACTGTGAACGCTTTGTAACAACAATACATCGCTTCTCTTCCTTTCTTGGTAGCCCCAGAGTGGATTCCGAGACCGCGGCCATCGCGACCGCCACCGTCATAACAACCGCTTTCGTCATGACGACGGCAAAATCTGCTGAGAGTTGTTATCAGCTGTTACGGGTTGGATGTAGCACTCCTGGGCTGTTTTAATGCTCCTGCTATTTCGTACCCCCCTCAAACCCCTTGATTCCGTTTTGTGCTTCACACATGGATCGACACAGCTGGGCTGGTTTGAGCGTTTCACTGCAGCAAAACACTGCCAGTACATCGTCGCGCTCGTGATGCACAACAGGCACTAGCCCAAGGCCCGATCGCTGGGCGTTTGTCTGACTGCTGAGTCGCCCCACATGAACAACAGACGACATCATCCTCACAGTACGCACTCGCCTCCCCATTGCGCAAATTACCCCGGCCCCGACAGGTAAACGGGGGAAGGGAGGGGGAGGGGCAGCTGACTACGGTGGTGCGCCGTGCGCCCCGTATTCTTGCGTCACGCGTAATGCGTCGGTACATGGGCCATGTCTTTCCAAGCGAATAACCACCTTTTTTGTATTCGGCCTTTGGCGACCAAACTACGTTCCTTCACATGCAAATGAGAAAACACCATTAACACGTTGGAAAATTTGTCTTCGTGGCTTGCAAAAATTCATATTGCCCTGATCAATATTTATTTTGTAATGACGATTTCAAGAGTTGCATACACATATTTGAAAAAGTTTTCTGGTCATTTTTTCCCCATTTGCCTTGCAAGCAAATGGGAAAAAACCGCCACCGAAGGCAGCCTTGTAACCGCGCAACTCGAAATTGCCGAAGTCCTTAACTCCGAAACAGTGTGTCTGAGGTGTCTAAAAATGTCGCAGGTGATCTCAACGCTCATAACAACTCCGGTGACGCAATTTTATCAGAATCCGGGGGATGAGTGTGTAAGACACTTGCAAATTTATCTTGGGATATCCCACTTAAAGCCGGTGTTGATTTTTACAGATTGATATACTTCCGTTCATCTTTTAACCACATTTCCATGAAATCCCGGCCGGTAACTTCTAGGTGATATTGAGTTCCACATCAAATTATACTTATTAACACGCGCTCGGGTGCTCGGTTGGATGGACGGGCCCGGATGGGGATCAATTTGGCCCCTTCTGAAATGTAAAAAGACTAAAAGAGCTAACAGCACTGAATTCACAAGGCAGGTGGGTCCTGTATGTAAATTCACCTGTGTAAAGCTTTGGCGTGGCTAAGCTATAAAAGTATTGTGATTAAATAAGGCCAAACAAGATCAAGCATTATATTGGTGTCTGAAGTGTCCTCAGACCTTATGCAACATCTGGAATATGAACATCTCTTCTAAGCAAAAGGTCGCTGATGTTCATTTCCGGTCAATGACCTTCGACCCTAAGAAAGTAACGGCGGCAAAAATCTGTGATTTTATAAATCTGTGATCATGTTTTGATTTTATACTCTCAACAAGCGTCAAGGACTAGGCACTGCCTCTAAACACATGTTTATCGTGGTGGTGGTAGGTTAATGACGTCCGCTGGACTTTACGAAGCCGACTAAGATGTCTGTTACGATTAATAACTTCGGAAAGGAGCGTAAAAACTGTCCCCACTAAGTAGGCTTTCCAGTACAAAAACAGCTTGTATTTTTTACCAAGATCTGATTTTTATACCTAAACTGAGATGAATGAACTTAATCGTCATCTTAAATTCAAATGCCTACTTGACCAATAAATTATTTCAAATATTTATGACTTTGTCTAACATTCTGCTGTCGTATTACATTTAACGATTCCATGCATCCATACGCGTTCTCTAGACAGCTGTAACTTGACTTAGACTTGGCATAGATCAGCGACCTTGCAAGGTGCATGCGTGTAATCTTTCATACCAAAATATTACCTATTTAATTGCTTAAGGTGGCACAAAGTTTGCCGTGGCTACGCCGCGCCGTTCGGAAACTTTTCTGAAAATCTTTGGGCATGCAGATTAATTCCCACCTGAGCGCGTGCGATATGGGCTGTCCACGGCCCATAGCTCGTATCCCTCAATGTGACACAGCCAAATGCACGCATTACATTCTTGGAGCGTGCGTTCACGATTGTACACCTGTGGCATTTATTGCAATTATGACTGCCGCCCGTTGAAGCATTTCTTCTTTTCCAGGTCTAATCTGGAACGGGTTTTACCTGCCTTGCAAAGATGGAAAGCAAGCATGATGCTACAAGAAAGGATTCACTTGCTGAGACGAGTACATTATCTATGTTGGGCGCATGCAGTCAAGGACAACAAGGAAGCAACGAATGCGTGACTGATGAAGCCCAACAGTGTTCTACTGCGCAGCCGTGTGCCCAGCTCCAGCAGCAGGTCGCAGCCGTACCGCTCACCAGCGTCAAGGCGCCGGATCAAAGCGGCACGAACGAGTTATCTCCCCGCTCGGCGCAGCCGTCCCTGCTGAAGGCGCGGGAGATGGCGTCAGCGGCCGCCGAAGAGCGGGCCGAGTCGGAGCCGACCTCCCGCCGCCCGGAGAGTCCGGCGCGCTCAGAGGCTGGGTCACCGGCCCTCCTCGCGAGGCACATCGCCCTGCTTATCGAGACGGAGGCCGGCACGAGGCCGCGCAGCTCGGACATCGGCGACGCCGTCTGCCCTGTCGAGCCAGACACGGGCGCGCCGCGCTGGAGGCCGCCTCCCATCCAGCGCAAGCGGCGCCAGCAGCTGTTCGCGGCGCTCAGGCTGGCTCGTTCAGACCCCGGTAACCCGCGCAACGACGACACGGCCGACGGTGCGATCGGCCGCGTCATGCACCGATTGCACCCGGCCCTGTACGTGGAGCGCATGCATGCAGCTCCCCACAGTCTGTATGGCTCTACGACGGTGGAGGAGTTCCTACGGTCCGGCGGGCGTCCCGTACACGTCGTCGGTGACTTGTTCCTGGCACCAACGACCATCCCTCGAGCGACCGCCAAGCAGTTGATAAGGCATGGCCAGTACTACCGTGGCCACTCGGTCGCCTGTTTTTACGCCTACCTCTACGCATTCGAGTTTCTTTTCTTCATCGAGTACCTGCGTCAAGTGACATGTCACGACGCAGAGGTGCGCCAGGTGCTGGACCACGTCATCGACAAGGCACAGAGCATGCACCTGATCATCAACAGCGCCACCCTCTTCAGCCTGATCCCGGAAGCCATGTTCACGCAGCGTTCGCCATTTCGCTTCATGGCGCGTCTGTTCCCGATGGAAGAGCCATGGGAAGTGGACCTCCTCTGCGACATGATCAACTGCCGTGACATTACGCAGGACGCAATGGAAGCGTTCGCCAGCCGCCAGCACTTTTTCTTCTCGGAGCAGCGCGACATGTGCCGCCGGGCGCGCGAGGCCGGCCAACAGCGCCCCATCTTCCACCCCCGTGTGCTGGCCGCGCCCGACTCGTCCAACGTCTTCGACGAGTCCCTTCAGGCCGAGTGGTTCTTTTCGCACGGTATGATCGTATTCGGCGAGCGTGGCACCACGTACTCGGGATTGCGCACCCACAGCCGCCACCGGCCGCTGTGCAGCCTGGGAGCCGAGACGGTGCTGAAAGGCTCGGTCGGCCGCCACGCGCTGGTCCGCCTGCACCATGACGTGTACATGCTGGGCGCGCCGCTGGCCGACCTGCGCCTCCGCCAGTGCCGCTACCCCAGCCCCGCCGAGGTGCGCGTCCACGTCGAGATCGGCTTCTTCGTGGAATCGCAGAGCTTCGCCCAGTTCGTGACGTTGCGTCCAGCGCAGGGTGGACGTGATCCCTGCGCGATTGTACGTACCATTGGGCGCCCCCAGCTGGGACCCGGCGAGAGGCAGCTCATGCACTGGCTGCTTAGCAGTTTGGGTTGCGTGCACGCGCGCCGAACTACACGACAAGGCGCGCAAGCTTGCTCGCTACGGCGCATTCATGATGGGCCAGTACCTCTTCCAGCTGCGCTCGATGCTGCAGGTGCAACCACCTGGAGTCGGAGGCACCTGCCCTGCGAGAAATCTGCTTTTGTGCGCGCGCGCTGCGTTCGAGGACAGCTTTGTGCAGAGCAACGCTGCTTCAGGGTGCAGCCTCCGCCTGAGATCAGTCAGCGGCCATCGCTGCCTCGCGGCCGGTGTTGAGCGTGCTCGCTACAACATGCGTTGTCAAGCCACCATTGCGCGCGCCCCTGCTTCCGCCAGTGAAGCATGGCAAGGCTTTGAAAGAAGCTGTGACGCCCGACAAATAGTGGAAACGAATACCTAGTGATTTTTATGTTGCAATAGGAATGGAATGAGGTTTCACTTGATAGCTGTGTCTCACCTGTGTGAGGTTGGTTGAGGCACGCCTTTGTACGGACCATCGAAGCGATCGGGCCGAAAATGATACGGACTTCACTTCATTTTGTATTTTTACCAGGCATGATTTTGATAGTTGACCTTGCCGCGTGAGACATGAACGTCGTTCGGCCATTTTGTAGGGATACGTGGAATAACATTGACACACTGTGTTTTCTTTGTGATCGCAATGACCAAAGGTGGTTGCTCACTTAGTGTGATAAAATGAGACGCTTTGTGTCGATCATCTTGTGCTGAGATAAAAACCAACCGCGTGCAGCGCGTGCGCACGTTCCGAAATGTTTTCCTTCCTCCTTTAGGCCGACGATCGTGAACGCAAGATATGCCATTGGTAGATCATAAGATGGTGGCGATGTCATATCAGATCTGACATGGCGGTGTTGCCCAGCTCCTCGAAAACCCCCAGCTGCCCTGGATGAGCCCCAGCTTCTCCACCACTGCTTTCAGAAGTCACCGGTGGCGTCAACAAACGCTAGACGTCACCAACCCCCTGCAGGTGCCCGTCGATTAGTTGATCTTCCATCCCCAACCCTGGTTTCATTCAAACAAGTCAAATGAGTCAGAACAGGGCAAGTTTTAAAACGTGCTGCTCTATAATTACATGTGCAGAGGAACCCCAATCTGGGCATTGGTGCATGTATACACTCTTCAGTCCGTGCACGCTGCAGTCCCGAGACACGGTCGCTCACGGAGGCATAGCATCAGCCATGAACAATGTTAGCAGCCATAACTGATCGAACAAATCCGCAAGAAACATGGAGCTTAAGCATATCAAAAATATTCGAAAATCCTCTGTCAATACTTTTGGCATCGCTGAAACTTTCCACCCAGTACCGGTTCATTGCTGATGTCCTCGATCTCCTGATCTGCATCATGTGCTATTCCACCAACTTCATGACGTCCGTCCGCCTGGGGTGAGAATTCCAGCAGCTGCTACCGCGAGGGATTAAATCGCCGCGAAGCACCTATCACCTGGGACAGAGTCTTCGGACAGCCCTTGTCACGTGGTATTGAAGCACCGGGCAGCACCTGCAACGCGGGACAGAGCTTTTTGGGCAGCGTCTGTCACGTCGGATTGAACCGCCGGGCAGTGCCTGCCACGTGTGGCTGAACTGCTCAGTTTTTGCATCTACTAAAACACCATGGCCATAAACGTTACTACAGTTGTACATGGCTGCTTAGAAAGGTCTGTGTTTTTTAAAAGGTGTGTAAGGCTAGTGAACCGCCGACCAATGGGTTTTCACCCGTTTTCGACGCAGCACACTTCTGCTGCTATACGGCCGTTCGCTTTACATGCTGTGTACCATGTCTGCTGCAGATACACAGGGGCAAGCCGGCAGACGTTTCTTACAAGACTCATCGTGCACCCAGCCGAGTGTTGTGAGGCCTAAAGTGACCTGATGCACCAGTTTATGCGTGTATGCAGATGATGCCCTGAACCCAGAACAAGTAATGCGTGGACGGAAATGCGTGTTGGAAACGCGTACATGTATGCATGCATACAAAGGGGATGCATTTTGTGATCTAAGAGCATTACAATGCGTGTTTGATTATGTAATTTAAAGACAATTTGGTATCACTGTACACAGAGACCTCATCAAATTATTGGTGATGGATGCTAATGTATATAGCTTGCATCGATAAGATTCATGATAGAAACCGATCAAAATATCCATTACTAAGTGTTCGTGAGCAAACGCACGGGTCTGCAAGGTTCCTTGGAAGGTAGTGGCCATAATGGGTAAGTGCCATCAAGGATTTAGTACCATAAATGCGCGAGGTGTACTGTGGTGAATGCCCGAAAGAAGTACCGAAGCAATACACCAAAGTAAGTGAAGTGTATTACATAAATCGATAGGTGGGAACAGCAATAGTTTACGCACTGCAGGCCATAGCATTAAGTGTATTACATGTGCGTGGCAAATAAATGGAAAATAGCTAAGCGCAGAATGGGCAAAATAAGAGATCTATAGTTCACTAGACCGGAAGTCATTGTTGGTGTGCAGCTACTAACTTCTCAACGGCCAAGAAGAATAAGCAAGGATGATTGTGCCCAAGGAGGAAGACGAAAGTTTAGAATGTGTCGTCGGGCATCTTTTAGGTAACAGGAAAATTTAGAATGAGTCATGGTCGCCGTTTGAACGGCACTTCGTAGCAGAGTTAGGGTCGGCCGTTTTCAGTCTTAAACTCGTAATCCTGAAAAAAACTGGGGGCCCAGGGGACAGTGC